AGAGGAAGGAGGAGGAGGAGGGAGGAGGAGGAGGAGGAGTAAAAAGAGGCGGAGGCGGAGGAGGAGGAAGGAAAAAGAGGAGGGAGGAGGAGGAGGAGGAGGAAAGGGAGGAGAAGAGGGGATGGAGGAGGAGGGAGGAAAGAGGGACGGAGGAGGGAGGAGGAAGCAGGAAGAGGAGGGGGTGGAGGAAGGAAGAGGGAGGAAGAGGAGGGAGGGGGGAGGAGGGAGGAGGAGGAGGAGGAGGACAAGGAGGAGGAGGAGGAGGAGGAGGAGGACGAGGAGGAGGAGGAGGAGGAGAAAAGGGCGCCAGTCCAGCGTAAAACGGGAGGAAGTCTCGAACGGGAACGCTGGTTTTGTCGGGACGGGGGCTGTCGGCGGCGAGCAAGATCACCGCCTTGAGCAAAAAAGGGAGGAAATCTCGACCGGGAGCGTTGTTGCTGGGGGGCGGCGCCGATGAGAGAAACAAAAGAGGAAGTCTCTAACGGGAGCGTTGCTGTTGTTGGGGGCCCGGCGGTCCCCCAAGCCGCTTAAGAGTGAGCCTCATTTTCAATGAAAATGCAACCGGCGTCTCGGCGAGAGCGCCAGGGCGCCTGTAAGGAGTCCAACAGTTATAATTGTTAAGTAATTCACATTCAACAGCAGCAGCAGCAACAACAATCATTCTAAGACTGTTCGCTCTTACTGGCACGCGTGTCTTGCATTCCGTATACCCCAACCCTCGATACCCGCCCGCTTCGTCTTGGATTGCATCCCCTTTCGGGGGGAATAACTTCCTTGTCGGCCACTGACTGAAGTGCGAAGATGTCTCGAGCGAGAGCACCGTTCCTGAGTTCGGGGGCCTCTCTGGCCAAGGGCTCTCGGAATACCGATGGAGAAATATCGAACGGGAGCCCTTGTCGCGGTGTCCGGGCCTCCACCAACTTGCTTGAATTACGGGAAAAGTCTCGAGAGAGAGCGCCGTTGCTGAGTTCGGGGGCCTTCTTGGCCAGGGGCTCTCGGAGTAAATCTTGAGGAAGTTTTGAGCAGGAGCCCTTGTCGTCGTGACTGGGCCACCGCCAACTTCATTGCTCGCACGAGAGCGCCGTTCCTAAGTTCGGGGGCCCCTCTTGCCAGGGTGTCTCGGAATATATTGTGAGGAAGTGTCGAGCGGGAGCCGTTGATGTCGTAGCAGGGCCTCCAAGGGCCAACATTTAGGCTCAAGCCAACGCTCGAGCGGGAGCTTCGCTTTCAGAGAAATTGCAGCCAGAGTCGAGGCGAGAAAGCGCGGAAACGCTTCCGGAGACCAGCAATAGTTAGTCTGTAAAAATGAGTATTCAACAACAACAACAACAACAACAACAACAACAACAACAGCGGCAGCAGCAGCAGCAGCAACAACAACAACAATAATAAGTTAAGAGCGTTCGCCCTTATATGCTCGAGTGTCCAATAACGCGTATTTCCCAAGCCCTCGACACCCGCCCTCTTCGTCTTCGATCGAACCCTTTTTGGGGGGTATACCTTTCTTCCCTGCAGGCCGGGCCCCAGCAAGCGGCGGGGCGGCCGCGGACCGTCGGCCTGGCCAGCGGCAGCGCTGATCGGCGGGGCGGCCGCGGACCGTCGACCCGACCCCAAGAGGGACGGACAGGGGACCGACCACGACGACGACGACGACGACGACGACGACGACGACGTCGAAGACGACGGCGACGACGACGACGACGCGACGACGAGCGAAAGCGAGAGCGAGAGAGAACGACAGCAGGGCCACGAAGGGCACGAAGTAGGCCACGAAGGGCGACAGCGGGGACACGAAGGGAATGCGTATGGGGCCACGAAGAGCGCGAACGAGCGGGGGCCACGAAGTGCAGATAATGCGGGGCCACAGAAGGCAACTATGGGGCCACTGAGGGTAGCAACTGGGCCACGTAGGACAGTGAGGGGGACACAAATGGCGACAGCGGGGCCACGAAGGGCATGCACATGGGGCCACAACGGGCGCGACTCCTGGGTGCCTGGGTGTTGGGAGCGCGGCGCTTGGGCAAATTGCAAGAAATTCCAACGCAAGGCCATTCTTCAGTAAGTTGCAAACAAGTCTCCAGCGAGAGCGCGACTCCAGAGCGCTGGGAGAGCGATTCCTGAATAAATTGTAAGGAAGTCCCAAGCGAGAGCGCGATTCCTGAATAAAACGCGAGGAAGTCTCGGGCGGGAGCGGGGGTCCTGGCTAAATTGTCAGGACGTCTCAGGCGGGACCCGTTGTTGTTGTAACCCGGGGGCCAGGGGCCCAGTTTGAGCATCAAGACTTCCCCTGCCAAAAAACAGGGTGCGAGCGTCGAGGGGCACACTTTGATTGAGAAAAAACAGTATGCACCGGTGGGGGGGGATCAACAATGATTATTCTTCAGAGATGAGAATTCAACAATCATTTTAAGACTGTTCGCTCTTACTGGCACGCGTGTCTTGCATTCCGTATACCCCAACCCTCGATACCCGCCCACTTCGTCTTCGATTGCACCCCCTTTCGAGGGGAATAACTTCCTTGTCGGCCACTGACTGAAGTGCGAAGATGTCTCGAGCGAGAGCGCCGCTCCTGAGTTCGGGGGCCTCTCTGGCCAAGGGCTCTCGGAATACCTATGGAGAAATATCGAACGGGAGCCCTTGTCGCCGTGTCCAGGCCTCCATCAACTTGCTTGAATTACGGGAAGAGTCTCGAGCGAGAGCGCCGTTGCTGAGTTCGGAGGCCTTCTTGGCCAGGGGCTTTCAGAGTAAATCGTGAGGAAGTATCGAGCAGGAGCCCTTGTCGTCGTGGCTGGGCCTCCGCCAGCTTAATTGAATTGCAAGAAAATCTCGAGCGAGAGCGCCGTTCCTAAGTTCGGGGGCCCCTCTTGCCAGGGTGTCTCGGAATATATTGTGAGGAAGTGTCGAGCGGGAGCCGTTGATGTCGTAGCAGGGCCTCCAAGGGCCAACATTTAGGCTCAAGCCAACGCTCGAGCGGGAGCTTCGCTTTCAGAGAAATTGCAGCCAGAGTCGAGGCGAGAAAGCGCGGAAACGCTTCCGGAGACCAGCAATAGTTAGTCTGTAAAAATGAATGTTCAACAACAACAACAACAACAACAACAACAACAACAACAACAACAACAACAACAACAACAACAACAACAACAACAACAACAATCATTTTACCCGAACGCGTGGTGTTCTCCCCAGTGCCAGGGTTTTCATACGACACCAGGCAATACCCCCACTTCGTGGGGGGGCATTACAAGCTCTACCAAATATCCAAACGACTCTTCGCGACCACCCAAACCCAGCTTCCCGCCCTATGACGTTGGGACACTTCACTTCGTGGCGTGCGGACGACCGTGGCTACTACACTGGCGTGGGGTACACACCCACAGAACTTGGTCACTTATTCGGGGCGCGCATGTGCCCAGCATGGTGCAATTGTGCCATGCTGGGCACATGCGCGGATGGTATTATTTGACAGGGATGATGGCCCTGGCAGGTGCGCAACCGTTGTCGCAGAAGTTCGAAAAAGTTGCTCGCAAAAGCCCGTTTGACAGAAATGTTTAAAAAGTGTTGGGTTTCCTACGAATCCGCAAGAGCGCGCGGGATGAGATTTTGACATTTTTTGTTGAAAAACCATTGGTTTTTTGATGTTTTTATGTTAAAATCGCTCGAACACTAAGGTTTTGGAAGGATTTCGTCTTGCGCGCGCGAATGTCCACTTTACCTTATTTTTTGCAAGGGATTCTTGAAATTTGATTATATTAGAACAAGAAATGTCATTTTATAGTGTTTTTTGCAAGGGAAAACGGATTACAACAAAACAACCGGATCTTGATGACATCGTATTACCCGAGGCTTCCTCACGAAAATGATGAAAATGTAGCTGCGGCCTAGGCGGCGCAGGGGGGCCGTGCACCAGGGGTCCCAACAATAATTATTCTTTAGAATTAATAATGTTCAACGACGACGACAACAACAACAACAACAACAACAACAACAACCACCCGCACCGCAGAGCCCCACTTCAGCCACGCGCCCAGGGACAGTGAATGACCGTTCGTCCCCCTCACTCTCATCATACTAGAACCCGATTCGGACTCAATAGGGCTCCTTTCTCCTCCTCCTCCTCCTTTACATGTTCCTCTTACTCATCAGAAGAAGGAACAACAGCGGCAGCAGCAAGAGCAGAAGAAGCAGAAGAAGGATGAAGCGCAAGAGGAAAACTTCGGGAACGGAGACGGAGGAGGGAAGGTCATGCGGAGGACGAGTGGGCAAATGAGGAGGAGAAGGAGGAGAGCGATGAGGTAGTAGGAAAGAAGAGGAACATGAATCGAAGGAGGATAACGACGATTTTTCTAAAAGATGGCGTTCGGGGCTGTCTCTATGGATCTGCATTCAATAGGAATCCTTTGGATCTGGAATATGATCCGTTCCTCTTGAAATCCCAGCGCGGGACCAGCACAGGGGTGGAAACATCGAGCTGGAATCGGCGATACATCGCCGGCAAATCGTTGTTAGGCCCCCGATAGCGAATCCGCAGGTTCCTCGGCGGGGTGGGCTATCGGGCCCACTATCGGTATCCCATGACTTTCGAGTCGGAACTCGGCTGTCCGCCAGCCCGTCGGGACGATCTGGGCACCCCGGGACGCCTTTCGGCGAGGCGCAGCTGCTGGAAAGCATCCCGAGACTGGGAAACCGCCTGGAACAAACGAAAACGTCCGAAAACCTCGAACTTCGAACCTTCGGGAGCGGCCAAGAGGGGGGTGTCCAAGAGGGGGGGGTGCAAATCATGACCGGCGGCATGTGCGCGGCCCAGCGGGGGGGCCAGGGACGTAATGAAATAAGAAGAGGCGCCCTGAGATCTGGGGAAATATCATGGCCCCTCGCCATGATATCCACCCCCCCCTAGTCATCACCCCTCTCTTTTCCGCCCCCGAAAACGAAACGTCCGAAAACCTCGAACTTCGAGCCTCGAACGTAGCCTCTGAAAGGACGCCGGGACCCTCCGGGTCCTCCCACTCGCCGAGGGAGTCGGAGCAGTTGTACGGCGGCCCGTGGCAGCCGAGCCCCTTGCTGTGGCAGCACCACGCCTCTCGGGTGCTCGTCAGCGGGAAGGGCAGTACGTGTGGAGTGGACGACGACGACGACGACGACGACGACGACGACGACGACGACGACAACGACGACGACGACGACGACGACGACGACGACGACGACGACGACGCCTTTTGTGCACCTTTTGAGCCCGCGGTGGCAACTCAGGGCCTGTTTGGGGCCCCGTTAGGGCCCCCTTCCTGTAACTCTGGTCGGGGATTTTTGAAGGGGCCCCAGGACACACAAATAAATACACACAAATAAAAGAATCCCCCTATATTTCCCCATGTCTTCGGGGTTTCTGCCTTCCCCCCAACTTCCCATATTTTCGAATCTTTTCTTGGGAATCGACGATTACTCCAGATTTCGTAATAAAAGGGAGGGGGCCTGGACACCCCAAGACAAGCCATTTCAGACCCCCCCCCCGTGGGAGAACCCTCCAAAACATCGTCCCCAGACCCCCCAGGCCCTCCAAGATAGCCTGGAAGAGACCCCCCCCCGAAATGAGACCCGCCTCCCTTTATTACGAAATCTGGAGTAATCGTGTCTGTGTGTTTTTCTCCCCTCCTGAATTTTTGCCTAACGCGTCGAGGCAGCGGCCCCAGCGGCACGCTGTGCTCTGCAAGCGGGTGGCGCGTCGCGCCGCCCCGCGGGGCGAGGGGGACTTCGGAAAGCTCTCGGACCGTGGACGACCGGAGGCCAGGACGTGGCTGGCAGGTCGCGTCGAGGCGCGGTGGGCCCATACTGGCGGCACGACGCACTGCAGGGCAGCTTCTGATACATAGGATGTTTGAAACAAATCTGATTTTGAATACATGATCAGTTTAGGAATAAATTAATGCATGAACTCATCCTTGCATTGATTAATCAACCCTGTATTCTTAAGACATGGTCCGCACGCGAAGCATGTATAGAAAAACGGCACTGTACACCAAAGTTCCTGACCGTATCCTAGGTTCCCCCACGTTCATTTAGGGGTCTCCTAGATGGGGTCCGTGTAGATGGGGTCGGAGGATCGCGCCGCAACGCCAATGCATCGGCGATGCATCGGCGATGCATCGCCGATGCACGGGAAACGCACGGGCGACGTCGGCGATGCATCGGCGATGCATCGGCGATGCATCGGCGTGGAGAACATCGGGTTCCACATCGAGCCGCGTCGCCGATGCATCGGCAATGCGGCGCGATCCTCCGACCCTCATTAAGATCTTGCAGGCGCTGGACGCTTGGGCGCTTGTTGGACGATCCGCAGAAATCGGCGAGAACCTGGTGGCGCCTGGGAGACTGCGGATCCTGTCTGTGAGGCCTGATGGGGTCTGCGAGAACCTGATGGGTCTGCGAGAACCTGATTCGGGAGCGGCCAAGAGGTGGGTGTCCAAGAGGGAGGGTGCAAATCATGACCGGCGGCACGTGCGCGGCCCAGCGGGGGCCAGGGACGTAATGAAACAAGAAGAGGCGCCATGAAATCTGGGGATATATCATGGCCCCCGCCATGATATCCACCCCCCCCTAGTCATCACCCCCTTCTTTTAACGGGCGAAGAACGGTATAAAATACACTTTTTCGCCGTCGGGGGCGCCTGCCCCAGGGCGGCTGGAAAGTTTATACCCTTACGGTGGCACCGTAGGGGTATTAACTTTCCAGCCGCCCTGGGACGGGCGCCCCCGACGGCGAAGAAGTTTATTTCATACCGTTCTTCGCCCGTTAACTCTTTCTGAGCGTGTTCTTAGGGTGGAGGGCTCCGGGTGAAATCCATATGGGCTTTTACGCCTCGAAAATCAACTCGTCTTGTGATTCACCTTTTGCAGATTCAAGCCTCGAAAATCCATCGAATCGGCATTTCAGATTTCACCCTTTGCCCTCCACCCAAATAAAATCCTCGGTCTTTGCCGCCCCCGACGAGAACCTGCTGGGGCCACCCCAGCTGTCCGGACCCTGCCTGCGAGGCCGGGAAGGGTGGGCGACGGGGCCCGGCGGCGCGACGCGCGGAGCCGGGAGCGCCTCCATCGCCCACGGCAGCCGTCAGCCCGCTCCCCTCCCGCTCCCTGTCCGCTGCGCCAACCGGGAGGGACGGCGCAAGCGCCAGGTCGGGCCTGTCCCCCGACAGGGGGACGTTGGACGACAACTGAAAAAGTACCCCCCAAATGTTCCAAAGATGACCAAGCATAATCAAAAAAAAGGCCCCAAATAGCGCTCCAGGGCCGGTGGAATGAGCGAAGCGATTAAAGAATCAAAAGAAATAGTCCCCAGACACTATCTTGAATCTTCCCCCCTGTAGAGGGACAGGCCCGACTCAACGCAAGCGGCACCAAGCGACAGCGGGGCCGGTGCTCCCACGGTGCAGGCGGCACCGCGCGGCGGCGCTGCCGGAGGCGGGCGGGCGGGAACCGGCGGGTCCCGCCCGTGGCCAAAAAAAAAAAACTTGCGGCGGCGCGCCAGGCAGAAGCAGGGGAGGCACGCGGGGGAGGGATCAAAGTGGGGGGGGGGGGCGCGCGAGGCGAACTCTCGCAGAAGGCATCTATACACCACCACCGTGCCGAGGCAGGGCCAGCCTGGGCCCCAGGGGGGTGTATAATACGCCCTCCTGGCCGAGGCCAAGAGGGTCTATACACCATCCTGGGGCCCAGGATGGCCCTGGCCTGGCACGGTGGTGGTGTATAGATGCCTCCGTCGGATAACTCTGCGTCGCCTTCGCGAATCCACGCCTAGTGTCCCTCCGTTGCCGTCCGCCCGTGCCGTAGCCTTTGGGTCCCCCATGGGGGAACGAAGAGGCACCGATGCTCCCCAGACCTCTCCCGGGTTGCATCCTGATGGAATTGCCAAGCGAGTCCAGCCGTGGCGACGAGGGCCTCCCAGGAGGCCTGACAAAAGGGAAAACGGGCCAAGGGCAGCGGCATGGGGACCTTGTCAGTCTCCGAATATTCTTGAGCCCCCCCGCGTGTACAGTCGGGGCGTTGACCTAAGGAACCCTAAATAAGGAACGAGGCCCCTATTTTCCATAAGTTGAACTTCGATTTCATATCAAAAACCTAAGGAAAACCTGAGGCAAGCTGTGAAACAAGCAAGGAACACCGAGCCCCTCCCCAACGAAAAGGGTTCCTTCTTCAGCGCCTCGACTGTATGTCTGGAGGAAGGGAAAACATGAACATCAACTTTCGACGGTCCGCGCGGACCTCCGAGTGCACGAGAGTCGGCGCCGTCGCCGCCGCCGCCGTCGCCGCCGTTGCCGTCGTCGTCGTCGTCGCCGCCGCCGCCGTCGCCGCCGTTGCCGTCGTCGTCGCCGTCGTCGTCGTCGTCGCCGTCGCCGTTGCCGTCGTTGTCGTCGCCGTCGTCGTCGCCGCCGTCGTCGTCGTCGTCGTCGCCGCCGTCGTCGTCGTCGTCGTCGCCGTCCGCCGGGGCCTTCTCCTCCAGCGTCCACGCCGGGGCGTGCGGCCCCTCCGCGCACGGGTACGCCCGCGTCGTCGTGACCGTGCCGCAGGGCGCCCCGCAGGGCGCGGAGGCGTTGGAGGCGTTCCGGGGCGGCGTGGTCGTGGAGGTCAGGGTCCTCTGCTTCATACGATGACTAAAGCCTACTTAATCCCGAAACCCCACTCATTATCGGATTAATACGGAATTTTTGCCGTTCAACCGATATATGCCGATATTACGGCGTCCATTGATGAGTGCATTTTTCGGGTGGGAGGCCTCTCTTCGGCGGTGGACAAGCCTCCCCTTAGCAAGCCTCCCCTCAATGAAAACGGCCTGGGACCGAAACCGACGCGCCTGGACCCGCAAAGATGGCGGCCGCGACTCCCACTCGCGAACCGGAAACGGCCGATTCCTTGATCGACGCGTCAGGGTAGGAGGTCTACCCACCCCCGCCCTCTCTAGACGGCGTCGGAATGCGGTCGGGCCGCTGTCATCAGGGCCGCTGTGCGGCAGGAGCGAGGCTCCTCTTCTCCACAGGTCAAGCTTCGATGTTCCATGGGAAGCAGAAGGAAACACCCAGGACAAACGGTAACACCATTGAGGAACACTGAGCCCCTCCCCAACGAGACGGGCTCCTTCTTCAGCGGCCCGGCAGTACATGGGCTTGGAGGATCGCGCCGCATCACGGCTCCATGTGGAGCCCGGTTTTCTCGACGCCGATGGCGCCGACGCGTCGCCGACGTCGGCGATGCCTCACCGATGCATCGTCGATGCATCGGCGAAGCGGCGCAATCATCCGACCCCATCTACTCCGACCCCACCTGCGGCGATGCCTCACCGATGCATCGTCGATGCATCGGCGAAGCGGCGCAATCATCCGACCCCATCTACTCCGACCCCACCTGGGTGGCTAAAGAACAAAACCAAACATGCTCGTGACAACAAAAAAAACAGGACGGCCAATGCTTGGCAATTTTCGGCCCCTGGGGGCTCTGGCCAGGCATAGGGGCAGGCAAACACGACTCAGGACGAAAAGCCGGCACTGGGGGAAGGGTCGGGATTTTCTGGGGGAGCCTGACCCCGTGAGGGAACAAGCAATGTCATCAACATGAAAACTCTGAGGTCATTGCGGGTTCATCGGTTCGGCGCTGGGCCCCCCCTGGCGGCGCCTCTGGCGCTGCCCTCCGCGCGCCGGGGAGGGAAGTCCAGCGCCGATCCAAGAAATCCGCGCGGACCTCCGAGGTCGTATGTTTATGTCATCGTGTGTTCCCCGATGGGGGAGCAAACCCCAAGCCCGTTCTCTATTATTCGCGATAACGCTCGCGACTGGGCCCGCCACCCTCCCCTCCCACATCTGGAGCAGGGACCGACCGTCCCGGCATTCCTACAGCCATACCACGACATGTTCTTAGAACCCCAAACATGTTCTAAGAACAAAAACAATGTTCTTAGAACATAGACCCGATGTGATAAAACAAGACAGACTCCGCCAGAAAAGCTCTGAGAACATCTCGTGGAAACCAGAAGAGGTTCTCAGAACATTGTCTGGTGGTGCTATAGGCGAGCCAGGACGCTTCGCCGCTGCTTGAACATCCGGGTCACGCCACGATCCGCGCGGGCGCCGTCTGGGAACTAGCTCGTGCCAGGTCTCCCCAGACGGCGCCCGCGCGGATCGTGACGTGACCAACCCCCCCCCCTCCCCCTCCCGGCCACGCCCGCTACCGCCGGGGGATGCGGTCTCCAGACATGCTCGCGCCACGAAGAACCACAGGACGGGAGATGGTGTTTGCCGTTTTCGGACTCTGGGGGCCTTCGCCAGGTCTCGGGACAGTCAAAATACGACTCGCTGGGATGAGAACCTGATCCCAGGGAATGGGTCGAGATCTCTGGGGGTGGACGTGGGCAGAAACAGACAAACTTTCAGAGCTCCGCGCGGAGTTCTTGGGCGGCGTCGGCGTGAAGTCAGGGCCCTGGTTGGTGAGGCTTCGGGTTGTGCAACCCTGCGATCCAGGCGTTGCAATTTTTTCACACGGGGTACGTTCGCCCAGCTTCAGGCCCCAGGACCATCACACATCGATCCAGCTCGAAAAATAAAGCAGAAAGATGGTGTCTCAGGCACCGATCATGATTTTCCACGATTTTAGTCCTTTCGGGCGCATGCTTACATGGATCAGGGATCTGTGGATATGGCGCGTATGAAACCGACGCCGCCTCATTTGATGACGGAATGCGCCGAGTCTGCAGGGAAACGGAACCCGCCGCTAATCCACGCGACTTAATATGTAGATCATACATGTCTGAATTTCCCTTGCCCTTGGAGGAAGACATAGCTGAATAACACATAACTGTCGAAGCTCCGCGGACCGCGAGGAGCTCCGCAAGTTTTTGCCTGTGCCGTTATTCCTTCTTCTTCCTATTATTCTTCTTCGGGTCCTGGTCGTGGATGTGGTCGACGAGCTGGTGGCCGTGGAGGTGCTCGTGGTGGTCGTGGGGGTGACGGTGGTGGTTGTCGTCGTGGCGGTCGAAGAGGTCGTGCAACCGTGGTGGTCGTGCTTGCAGCACCACTCCTCCACCCGGCAAAAAACGAAAAGCACGTCAGCAACAGCAACACCTTTTTCAAGTCAGCGGGCGCAAGCGAGCTGAAGCAGGTGCAGGCGCTGGTCTCGCTACGGGCGGGACGCGCTGGAAGCGAGTTGGGGCGCGGCGGAACGCGGGGAGGCAACAACAGCAACAACAACAATAACAACACCACCACCACCACCACCACCACCAACAACAACGACAACAACAACAACAACAACAACAACAACAACAACAACAACAACAACAACAACAACAACAACAACAACAACAACAACAACAACAACAACAACAACGACAACGACAACAACAACAACAACAACAACAACAACAACAACAACAACAGCAACAACAACAACAACAACAACAACAACAACAACAACAACAACAACAACAACAACAACACCAAAGACGACGACGACGAGGACGTCAACACTGCCGGGGCAGGCGCACACCGCGCTCGGGCAGCCGGCGGGACGCGCGGGGGGCCACGGGCACCCACGGACGACGCGAGGGAGGACGAATGGGGCGGCCGCGCAGGGCCGGGCGCGCGGGAGGAGGCCGCAGGCGCGGGAGGGTATCGCCGCCGCGAGCGGGGGGCGCAGGCGGCCTCGGGCCCGCGGGGGGCCGGCGTGCAGGCAGAACGGATGGTAGGGCTAGGTCGGGCGTGTCCCCCTACCGGGGGATTCTCGACGAAAAATGAGGCATACTCCAAAAGTATTCCAGGATGGTCAAAAACTGCTCTAAAAAAAGAGTCCCCGGGCTATGTTTGGACTATTGTTGAAGATTCCCCCCTGATGGTAAGGATGCGCGGCAAGGGCGCAAGCCCCTGGTGTTAAGTCGGGCCTGTCCCTCTCCAGGGGGAATGTTCAGAAATAGTCAAAAAATATGGGGGCGATTTTCTGATTATTTGTTGGACCATTTTGGAATATTTTTGAAGTGTTTTAAATGTTTTCGCCCAAAATCCCCCTGAAGGGGGACAGGCCCGACCTAACCCTTGTGCGCCCATGTCGAGGCTCTGCGAGCGGTGCTGGCCATCGATGGGCCGAGGGTCAGAGAGCGCCCTCCTCGGCAAGACCACCCAAAAAAGAGGGTTGCCAGGTGGCCAGACGCCTCGCTGGTCAAACCGACGAAGATGTGCAAGATCCAGCCTTTCGCCTATGCCCAAAATTTTGGCTTGACGCCGGGTGGAGTGCATACATTGCAGCTTGACCGAACAGGTTGCTTGCGCCCGTTAACGTCCGTTTGGGGTGTTCTGCAGACTTGACCCCCCAGCCCTGCTGGACCGAAGAGGCAAGGATGCAAGGGTACCCTTGGGAAGGTTGGCCCATCCCTATCGTCGATTTCGACTGTACCACAAGATGCGTGCCCAGTCCGTGCCGCCGAAGGGCCAACAACAACCACCTTACGGGGCGGTCTTCGAAGGAGAACTGACCTCGGCCGAGCCAGGCAGCGAAGCTCGGGCCGGGCGAAAGGGGGGGATAGCAATTGGGGGGTTTCAGAGTCAGCTCACGCAGCTGATTTTCCCGGCGCCTCCCGGCGCCGGAGGCGCCCAGGTATCGAGGAATGGGCCCGGCGGCGGGGCCGAAACCGGCTGCATGCAGCAGATTTCGCAACGCCCCCTTTCCCAATCCCCCCCTTTCGTCCGGCCCGAGGAGCGAAGCGAAGCAAGCGCTGGAATCGTGCGCGCTCCTCCGGGGAGCCCGCCCGTGCCCACAGAGGGCATGGCGCGGGGTCCGTGGCATCAGAGAGGCGATACGTGGGCGGACTCACGCCACAGCCACCTGCTCTCGGTGCTCCCGGCGGCGGATGGCCCTCGCCGAGCGGGGAGGAGGGGGAATGGGGGGAGGAGGAGGTGGGGGGCCACATGCGAACCCTACCCCTACCCCCCACGACTTCTGAGGGGGAGGGTGGGGTTCACTTCGCTCGGGAACCCCACCCTCCCCCTCAGGAATCGGGGGGGGTAGGGGTGGGGTTCGCATGTGGCCCCCTAGGAGGGGGCAGCAGGCAGCAGCGGGCACTCCTTCTTCTCGTCTGTCCAGCTCGTCTCCCAGGAGGCGTACCCCTCGACGCAGTCCGGAGGCGGAGCCGGCGTCGCCGGCGGCGGCACAAAGGGCAGCAGCGTCGAGCCGGGCACAAACGGCGGCCCAGTCGAGCTGGGCACGGAGGGCGCCGGCGCGGGCGTCCGGGAGTGCGCGGCCGTCGTGGTCGCCTCCTCCGACGCCCCAGGGCAGCCCCTGCCCTGCTGGGTGCAGCACCAGGCCTCGCGCCATCGCTCGGACGTCCATCCCCTGTGCACTTCTCTCTACTCCGGGCCTGCGTTTTTCCCGCGGGATGCTCACAGATGCTCCTCGATGGTCCTGGCCGGGGAAAAAAAGATGCGCACGTCCGAACGAGGCCAAGGCCTTCTTGTCGTCGGACCAGCCCTTCTCCCAGTGCTTGTACCTGGGAGGTCGGCCGGGGGCGGCCGGAGACTACCCCGGGCCAGGCCCAGGGGTGGGCTCTCCCCTCCAGCGTGCGGCAGCCTGCTTTTCGCGACGTGGGGCCCCGTGGGGTGTTGACGACCTCCTGGGGCTGGCTTCCCGTCCTGAGTCGCTTTCTGGCGGCCCCGGAGCCGGAAATCGGCCTCTATCGGCAGCACAGAAACCGCGAAGGGATATTAGGGAAGGGTCGGGCCCGTCAAACGTCCCGTGCCTTGCTTCCTGGTGCATCCTCTCGCCACGCCCCCTGGGAAGGAGGACACGAGGGGGAAGATGAGGATGAGGACGAAGACGAAGACGAGGAGGAGGAGGAGGAGGAGGAGGAAGAGGAAGAGGGGGAGGAGGAGGAGGGGGAGGAGGAGGAGGAAGAGGAGGAGGACGAGGTACGCGGATGAAGAGGAACCGGTAGGAAGTAGGAGGTATGAGAGAATGTAACATGTAGGAGGTATGAGTAAAACAAAAAAGAGGAGGAGGATTTCATTGGAATTCGCTGGTAACCAAAATGTGGTAAGGAGGAACAGGAAGTAGGAGGAGGCAGAGGGGAGGAGGAGGGACCTGGGAGAGTAACAGCAGGCCATGCCCTGATGCGCAAGGTCACCTCCCGAAAGCCAGAAGCCTCGACGGCAGTTATCACTATCCCCGTGGTGATGGTCCAGGCACCTTCTTCAGCAAACCCCTGGAACATAAACAAACCTCAAGACGGGGACCTGCTCATTCGAAGCGTGGTGCCAGGGATATCCCCTTCCTTCTCTTCCTCCATGCTCCTCCCTCCCTCCGCGGCCCGCCTCCCCGCGCCCCAGGCCTAGTCCTCGCAGAGGCGCGCGACAACGCGGAGAAGGACAGAGAGGAGAGACGAGGAGACTGGATACGTAGAGGAGGAGGAGGAGGAGAAGGAGGAGGAGGAGAAGGAGGAGGAGGAGAAGGAGGAGGAGGAGAAGGAGAAGGAAGGAGGAGGAAGGAGGAAAAGGAGGAAAAGGACGGATAGGAGGAGGTCCTCTCCCCCTGCGCCCCAGACCTAGTCCACGCAGTAGAGCGCGACAAGCAGAAGAGGAAAAGAAGGAGAGACGAGGAGACTGAACAGATGGGAAGGAGGCGGAGGAGGAGGAGGAGGAGGAGGAGGAGGAGGAGGATGAGGAGGAGGAGGAGGAGGACGAGGAGGAGGAGAGGAGAGGGGGACGAGGAGGAGACAGAGAAGAGAGGAGGGGGAGGGGGAGGGGGAGAGGGGAGGAGGAGGAGGAGGAGGGGAGGAGGAGGAGGAGGCGGACGCGGAGGAGAGGGAGGAGGAAGGAGTAGAGGAGGACAAGGAGGAAGAAGAAGAGGGAGTAGGAGGAGGAGGACGACGACGACGAGGACGACGAGGAGGTGGAGGAGGAGGATGAGGAGGAAGAGGAGGAAGAGGAGGGATGTCCCTCCCCTCCCCCCCTCCCCCTCCTCTCCTCCTCCTCCTCCTCCTCCCTGCTCCTCCCTCCTCCTTCCCTCCTCCCTCCCTCCCTCCCTCCCTCCCTCCCTCCTCCCCTGCCTCCTCCCTCCTCCTGCTGCAGGGCACCCGCCGAGGCAGTCGAACACTCGCTGCGCGCTTGCCCCAGCGCAGCCCAGCAGCAGCGGCAGCGGCAGCCCGCCGACGCCGCGGGGCCGGCGCATGCTACGAGGAGCGCGGCCGCTCCGCGCGGCCGCCCCCCGCGGCGCGCGCGGGGACTGCCCCCGCGGGGCCGCAGCTGGAGGCGGGGTGGGGGTGAGGCGGAAAGAGAACGGGGGATTCTGGGGTGGCGGTTTTGGGGGGCCGACGCGCGGCACGATTGACTTCCGAGGTGCGCGTTGCAGCGCGGGTGGGGGTGAAAAGGAGGGCCTGGTACATCGAGAGAGAGAGAGAGAGAGCGGGAGAGAGAGAGAGAGAGGGAGAGAGCGTCGGAGAGAGAGAGAGAGAGAGAGAGAGAAACAGAGAGAGAGAGAGAGAAATATAGATAGAGAGAGAGAGAGAGAGCCAGAGACTTAAAGAGAGAGAGAGAGAGAGAGAGACATGGAGAGAGAGAGAGAGAGAGAGAGAACAAGGCGTGGGAGCGGCGCGGTAGGGGGGAGGGGAGAGGGAGGGAGCGGGAGAGGGAGGAAAAGGCGAGAGGCCAGAACGCCCCCTCTACCGCCCGCGGCGCCGCCTGGGGGGTGTGGTGTGTGTGGGGGGGGGGGAAGAAGAAAAAAACAAAATCGGCCTGACACCCCTGGAGATTCCCCCCCCCCCCCCAAGAAGCGCTCGAAGGCCGCCGCTCCGAGGCCGCCGCTGCTGGCTTCGAGGGCAGGCCCCGCCGCCGCCACTTCCGATGTCCCCTGGTGCCCCTTAGGCCCCCTAATCCTCCTCCCCCCTTTGCCTGCCACTTGCTTTCTTTTTTCTGTTCGTCCACGGCGGCGCGCTGGCGGCGGCCCTGACAGCGATTGCTTCGGACTGGTGGCTCCTGTGGAATAGCCCCAGTACGATGCCCTGTATATTGTGGTGATGCTCCACTGCTGATGCGATGTCCCAGTTCTACTGGGCGAGGCATTGCTTGGCATTCGTTGGACATGCTTGGAGCTGCTTGCAAACGAGTGTTCCTGCTTGGCCTTGGTTGGTTGTGCTTGGCGTTGCTTGGTTGCGTTTGGCATTGAGTGGTCGTGGTCGGCTTTACTTCGCACTGGCTACTCGTGCTTGGCATTTCTCAGCATTGCGCGATTGCGCGTGGCATTGGCTGGTCGACCTTAGCATTGCCTGGCATGGCTTGGTCGCGTGCGCCATTGAACAGTCGCGCTTGGCATTGCGTGGCATTGGTTGATCATGCTTGGCGTTGATTGGTCGCGCATGGCATTGAATGGGCGTGTTTGGCATCGTTTGGCATTGGTTGGTCATGTTTGGCGGTGCTTGGCAATGTGTGCCCCCGCTCTTGCCATTGCCTGGCGCGTGTAGGGCATGCTTGGCATTGGATGGTCGTGCTTGGCATTGGTTGGTCGTGCTTGGCGTTGTTTGGAACTGTTTGGTGATCCATGGCGCTGCTTGGCAGTAGTTTGAGGTTACCGGCATTGGTTACTCGTGCTTGGCATTGCCCTGAATTGGTGGGTCGTGGTTGGCGGTGCTAGACAATGTGTTGTCCTGCTCTTGACATTGCCTGGCATATTTAGGCGCTGCTTGGCATTGAATGATATTTACATGACTAGGGAAACCTGATTGAATAACCATCACTGGTGAATTCTGGCGGAGGAACCTTCACTCAGAAATCCTTAGTCAGGAATGCTCTAAAGCAACACAAAGTTCATCCTTTGTGTGAAGAGTTTCTCGAAGTTGGCGAGGAATCTCCATGGGGGAATCCGCGTGAGAAAACTTTGCTGAGGGCTCCTTGATAAGGAACATGGTATAAGAGATCCTTCGTCGGGAGTTTCGAAGGAGCCTGAATCAGGAATCGTGATTAAGGGGTCCTTAGTATTGAATACTTACAGAGGAGTTCGTAGTAAGGGAACTCCACGAAAGAATCCGTAGGTTTGTCGTGCTTGGCGTTGTTTGCAATTGTTTGGTGGTCCATGGCGCTGCTTGGCATTAGTTTGAGGTTACCGACATTGGTTATTCGTGCTTGGCATTGCCTTGAATTGGTGGGTCGTGGCTGGCGGTGCTAAGCAATGTGTTGTCCTGCTCTTGACATTGTCTGGCATCTTTAGGCGCTGCTTGGCATTGAATGATCTGTACATGACTAGGGAACCCTGATTGAATAACCATCACTGGGGAATCCTGGCTTGGGAACCTTCACTCAGAAATCCTTGGAATATTCTGAAACAACAAAACATTATCTTTATGCGAAGGATTTTCTCGAGGCTAGCGAGGAATCTCCATGGGGAGTCCGCATGAGATATTGTTGCTGAGGGATCCTTGATAAGGAACCTGTTATAAGAGACCCTTCGTCGGGAGTTTCGAGGGAGCCTGAATCAGGAATCGTGATTCAGGGGTCCTTAGTATGGACTATTTACAGAGGAGTTCGTAGTAAGGAAACTTCACGAAGGAATCCGTATACGGGAAGAACTACTAAGGAGAATTCAATCAGGAATCTGTGCGAGATAATATTTGCAAAGCAATCCTTGATAAAAAGGCGCCTTGCAGGATAATCCCTACTCTGGAACGTTTACCAAGGAATCCTTAGCAAGGAATCTGCACTAAAGGATGCTTATTAAAGAGTCGCTATTAAGGAATATGTGTTAAAGCAACCTGCATCAAGGAACCTGTATCAAGAAACCTGCACTATGGGGATATTTGCGAAGGAACCTTTCGCAATAGCTATGTGCTAGGGAATCTGCATTAAGAGATCTGCATTGAGGAATGCGCTTTGGAGGATCCGTATTGGGGCTTCCTCATTCAGGAATCATTGCCCAGGACTCCTCACTCAGGAATCCTTAGTCTGGGAACTTTACCAATCAACCCATGCGGTGAAATCCTCACTAAAGAGTCTTTTAAACAAGCGAATTTGAATTTTGTAATCCTTGCTCATAAATCTAGATTAAGGAACCTCCATGTATGAACCCTAAGGAATCCTCGGTGAGGAGCGTGCATTGAAGAATCCGCACTATAACGAATCCTCACTGAGGAATCCTCATTGAGAAACCCTCCTTCGCAAGGAATCTGCAATAAAGAACATGTACAAAGGAATATGTGTTAAGGAACGTGTATGAAGGAGTGCTTAATGAGTAATCTGTGTTAAGGAACCCGCAGTAAGGAATTTGGATTAAGGAGTCCTGGCAAAGGCATCGTCAGTGAGGAATCATTGCCAAGGAATCTAAATTCATGAAACTCGATTGAGGCATCGTTATTGCACAATCTTCACCAAACAACTCTTACGAAGGGTTCGTGCTTCATGAGTATGTTCGAAAGAATCTGCATCATGGAGCCCTGATTAAGGAACGTTTACTGAGGAATTCTTCCTCGGGAATCCCTCCTGCGGAATATACACCAGGAAATCCTAGGAGACGGCGGACGCTGCGTGCAGGCCCTGCCGACCCCGACAGAGACGACAGACGCCGCGCGCAGGCCCCGCCGACCTCTGCAGTCCTAACGAAGCTCGAATTGCCATCAGGATGCTGCCAACAATGCGCCAAGCGCCAGGGCGAAAACACAGCGTTTGAAACAGATTCGCGGCGCCAAAGCGAGAGCGCGAAATGCCGCCGCGGCGCGGGCCCCAGACCGCCACCCCAGAATCCCCCGCCCTCGGCGGAAAGGGGGGCGGAGGGACGGGGATGATGATGATGATGATGAGGAGGAGGAGGAGGAGGAGGAGGAGGAGGAGGAGGAGGAACAGGAGGAGGAGGAACCGGAGGAGGAGGAGGAGGAGGGAGGAGGAAGGAGCAGCAGGAGGAGGAGGAGGAGGAGGAGGAGGAGAATGAGGAGGAGGAGGTGGAGGAGGAGGGGGAGGAGAAGGAAGAGGAGGAGGAAGCGGAGGAGGAGAAAGGAGGAGGAAGAGGAGAAGGAGGAGGCGGAGGAGGAGAAGAAAGAGGAGGAGGAGGAAGAGGAGGAGGCGGAGGAGGAGGAGGAGGACCAGTGTAAAACCAAGACCCATCAACGATGTTGAAGTACAACCTCCCTCAAACATCCCTCTTCACAGGCCCCTACAAGGGGTCATCTCCACCGAGGTATTTGCGCCGTTTGGGGACAGCCGCGTGAACATGTGGACGCGTGGCAAGGCGCCGTCCTCGGGACTTCGCCGCCACGGGCCACCCAGACTGCCACGTCTCGGCGGTCCTGAGGCGTACCAGAAGACCACACCTGCAACACCAGCACCGCGAATCAGCGTGACGATTGCGCCCTGACAACAATCCCGAAACGCTCCAGAACACCATTCCTGGCACGTTAGCCATGAGACCCAGTGAGATGCTTGCAAGTAGTTGCATCGAACGCACGCGGCGCTGAGGCGAGAGCCACATTTTGAGAAGGAGCCGCCCTCAATCGGTGAAGTGCTCGCAATGTGTTAAAACGAATGCGCGCGCCGCTAAGGCGAGAGCCATACTTTGAAAACCACCCGCCCTCAATCCCATTCCTGCTAAAACGAACGCCACATTTTGAAAACGACAATCAGTGAAACTGTGGCAGATGTTTAAGACAAATGTGCGAGGCGCTACAGCGACAACTGCATTTTGAAAACGGCCCGCCCTCAATCCGTGAAACCTCTTGCAAATGTTTACAACACATGTGCGCAGCGTTTAGGCGAGAACCGCATTATAATAACGGCCCGCCCTCAAGCCGTGAAACTGTTTTCTGAATGATCGGGCGCGGCGCTAAGGCGAGAGCCACATTTTGAAAACCACCTGACCTCCAGATGTCAAACTGTTGTCGATGCTTTAGCACCAGGGTCATACGCGATGAGGAAGTCTCAGGCGAAACGCCCGGCCCGCCTTTTCTGCCGGCCTCGGGGTGAAGGGAGGAAGGCAGGCTCTCGTGTGAACTCGGAGAGGCAGAGGGGGGGAGAAGCAAGAAGGGAACGTAGCCTCCCCCTCCACCCTCCGCCCTCCATCCTCCATCCTCCATCCTCCGCCCTCCAACCTCCGTCCTCCATCCTCCGTCCTCCGTCCTCCATGCTCTATGCTCCGCCCTTCGTCCTCCGTCCTTCTCCTCCTCCACCTCCTCGTCCTCCTTCAACTCCTCTTCCTCCTCCTCCTCCTCCTCCTCCTCCGCCTCCTCCTCCTCCTCATCCTCCGCCCTCCATCCTCCACCCTCCGTCCTCC